AAACTGATGTTACCTGCAGTAAATTCTACTGTCATAGTGTCAGAAATCAGTAACACTTTACAATAAGGTACACAAAATTAGAGTAGTTACTGAGGAACTAATGAGGAACTAATGAGTAGTTACCGAGGAACGAATGAGGAACTAATGAGGAACTCTAAAATTAGAGCTATTACTAACTACTCTAATTTTGTGTACCTTAGTTCCTCAGTAACTACTCATTAGTTCCTCATTCGTTCCTCATTAGTTCCTCAGTAACTACTCATTAGTTTCTCATTAGTTCCTCAGTAACTACTCATTAGTTTCTCATTAGTTCCTCATTTGTTCCTCAGTAATTACTCTAATTTTGTGTACTTTAGTTCCTCAGTAACTCCTCATTAGTTCCTCAATAACTACTCATTAGTTCCTCATTAGTTCCTCAGTAACTACTCATTAGTTTCTCATTAGTTCCTCATTCGTTCTTCATTAGTTCCTCAGTAATTACTCTAATTTTGTGTACCTTAGTTCCTCAGTAACTACTCATTAGTTTCTCATTAGTTCCTCATTAGTTCCTCAGTAATTACTCTAATTTTGTGTACTTTAGTTCCTCAGTAACTCCTCATTAGTTCCTCAATAACTACTCATTAGTTCCTCATTAGTTCCTCAGTAACTACTCATTAGTTTCTCATTAGTTCCTCATTCGTTCTTCATTAGTTCCTCAGTAATTACTCTAATTTTGTGTACCTTAGTTCCTCAGTAACTACTCATTAGTTTCTCATTAGTTCCTCATTCGTTCCTCAGTAATTACTCTAATTTTGTGTACTTTAGTTCCTCAGTAACTCCTCATTAGTTCCTCAATAACTACTCATTAGTTCCTCATTAGTTCCTCAGTAACTACTCATTAGTTTCTCATTAGTTCCTCATTCGTTCTTCATTAGTTCCTCAGTAATTACTCTAATTTTGTGTAGCTTAGTTCCTCAGTAACTACTCATTAGTTTCTCATTAGTTCCTCATTAGTTCCTCAGTAATTACTCTAATTTTGTGTACTTTAGTTCCTCAGTAACTCCTCATTAGTTCCTCAATAACTACTCATTAGTTCCTCATTAGTTCCTCAGTAACTACTCATTAGTTTCTCATTAGTTCCTCATTCGTTCTTCATTAGTTCCTCAGTAATTACTCTAATTTTGTGTACCTTAGTTCCTCAGTAACTACTCATTAGTTTCTCATTAGTTCCTCATTCGTTCTTCATTAGTTCCTCAGTAATTACTCTAATTTTGTGTAGCTTAGTTCCTCAGTAACTACTCATTAGTTTCTCATTAGTTCCTCATTCGTTCTTCATTAGTTCCTCAGTAATTACTCTAATTTTGTGTAGCTTAGTTCCTCAGTAACTACTCATTAGTTTCTCATTAGTTCCTCATTCGTTCTTCATTAGTTCCTCAGTAATTACTCTAATTTTGTGTAGCTTAGTTCCTCAGTAACTACTCATTAGTTTCTCATTAGTTCCTCAGTAACTACTCATTAGTTCCTCATTAGTTCCTCAGTAACTACTCATTAGTTTCTCATTCCTTCCTCAGTAATTACTCTAATTTTGTGTACCTTAGTTCCTCAGTAACTACTCATTAGTTCCTCATTAGTTCCTCAGTAACTACTCATTAGTTCCTCAGTAACTACTCATTAGTTCCTCATTAGTTCCTCAGTAACTACTCATTAGTTTCTCATTAACTACTCATTAGTTCCTCAGTAACTACTCATTAGTTTCTCATTAGTTCCTCATTCGTTCCTCAGTAATTACTCTAATTTTGTGTACCTTAGTTCCTCAGTAACTACTCATTAGTTCCTCATTAGTTCCTCAGTAATTACTCATTAGTTTCTCATTAGTTCCTCATTAGTTCCTCATTCATTCCTCAGTAACTACTCTAATTTTGTACCTTATTGTAAAGTGTTACCCAGAAATCTTGTAAAAAAAAATAGAAATAAAAAAAAGTTCATGGACTGTATTTAAAAAGTGGACGAAGCGTCCGGGTCTCAAAAATGAAGTTTAAGCCTGCATTCCTTCAATTCGCCAGCAGGGGGCGACTCCACTGGTTGCATAACGACATCAGATTGTATAGACATATATTATATTACATATACACAGCACAACATTCATTTTGTACATTACTGTCCCATTTAGAGTAAATTAGACCATAAAGCAGGGTTTACTTTAGGGTGTGGCTACTTTGTGATTAACACGTTGCTAACATGGTGTGACGTTGGGCTCTCACTCAGATCTACCCCTCGCTTCTTCATCCTCTCGTCTAAATATGGTCACCTCTGGCTCTGGGAAAACAAGATGGCGACAGCCAACTGCTGAACTTGAGGCTTTAAAATGGTCCACAAACCAATGGGTGATGCCACGATAGCAACGTCCACTTCTTTTATACAGTCTATGAGAATGATAAGTTTATCATCATAATGATTGTCATTACTATTATATTATTATTAATATAGTCAGTGGTGGGTTGTAATAAGCAGAACTACAGTTGTTAACTTTTAGAGCAAATAAGTTTTTCACATTTTCTGAAACTGACATTACTGTATATATTCACACAGCACTAAATGAGACAGAGAAAAATTATGTTTCTCTGCCTCCTCTGTTTGACTCTTAGCATTTCTAATCGTCGTACTGCATGTGAACGAAACCAATAAGAGCTGAGGAGTCTAACACAGCTGTCAGTCATGTTGATCACTGCTTGTAAACTGCAGTCAAACTATTTAACTCGGCAGCACTGATCAAATATGTATTAAACAAATATGTTGTTTCAGAAACATATTTTAGTGACTGTTTAGCTGTAAGTTGGTGACGCGGCTGCCATGTTAGATACAGTCAACTGGAGTGCCAATCCCTTTCTCATTTTACAGCTGAACAGAATTGAAGAATAAACAGAGAGTTTATCCTTCAGTTTAAGCCATATCTCTGTGAACTGTAAACTCAAATCATCGTACAAATATTGAAAACATGTTGTGTACAGTACTGTGAACCAGACACTGTAGCTGACCTTTGACCTGACCTTTCACCTCTGTCTGCAGTATCTGGGTCTGGGTTTATGCGGCATCGGAGTCGTAATCGTGTTCTTCAGAGTAAGCCTCCTGAACGTCCTCCCCTCAGGTAACACCGCTGGAGCTCACAGTTAAAGGAACACTAAGCTACAACATGGTGATATAGTAGCACCAGGACATGGTTAGCTTAGCTTAGCTTAGCTTAGCTTAGCGCAAAGCCTGGAAGCAGAGGGAAATAGTTAGCCTAGCTCCATCAACAGAGAGAGATCTCCACCCTCTAACAGCTTAAAAATGTGCAAACATACAGGTGGATTATAGAAGATCTAGAACACTTCACTATCCAACATGTTCTCATCCCAAGTCGTCACACATGGCTGCTTTGTCAGTGGACTGTAATGTCTACATATTAGGCGCTAGGTATCCTTCTGTGTCTGCTGTTTATGTTCCAGGATGCCACTACTAGTGCCAACATCAACAAAAGCATGTGATCAGGTTTAGAAAAAAACATCATGGTTTGGCTCTACATTCTTACAGGAAGTGAACATCGGGCTCCCAGGTGACAGTTTGGTGTTTGTTGAAGCCATCCACCACCCCTCCCACCAGCCCTGTAAGGACTTTCCAGCTCCTTACATTACGTCATTACTGGCAGTGTTTCAAACTGATGCTGTCCACCAGTGTATCATACTTCTGTGACAGGTGCCATCCTGCTGCCCGGTGGCACATCATACTGATGCCTCAATCCAAAGTCGTCCAAATCGGGCACTTGGACAGTGACTTGCAGCGTCAGACACTGAAGAAAGAAGCCATCCTTTAACATCGGCATGATATGCAGCCGGTAGCTGTTACATTTTAATGGCACTTCAGTGGCTTCAGGGGGGAACATGGCAGGACAAGGATGAAAGTTAAGGTGGTGGATGGGTCCAGCAAACACTGACTTTCACCCAAGAGAGTGGTGTTCGTGTCCCGTAAGATTATAAAGCCAAACTCTGTTCTTTTTTCCTAAACCTAACAATGTGTTTTTGTGCCTAAACCTAACCATGTGCGTTGCTGGAGAAAAAACGTCAGTTCGCGTTGTTGAACTGACCGTAGTGCGAGACTGTATGCAAATGTTAAATTTCCTGTGAAAACAGAAGTGTATTTTGAAAACAGACAATGCAACTTCACACGGCGTCCCAGAATGTCAACAACCAACACACCCAGGGTACCTTGCCGAGAAAGGTAGCTTTTGGCGTCTGTGTCTGACACTTAAATCACTCACAGAGCAGTGGTATTTGATGATTTCTATCAGCAGATTAATTTATTAAAAGGACACTTTGACCAGCTTTGTGTCAAAACGACGATGGTAGTATGTATAGGTGAACAACGGTAAACAATGGCAGGCAATGTGAAGTTACTGGTTAGCTTAGTGAAGTATCATGAAAGCACGCTAAATTACAAAGCTGACTACAAGTACAACAGTTTAGTGCCAGTAGTACAACTTTATTGTTACAAAACATTAGTCCCCCTGGGAATAAACTGCAGAATGACTGATACAATAAAGAAGTAATATTGGAGATGTAAAACAATATAATCAATACTAATAATTCCATTGTGTGTGTGTGTGTGTGTGTGTGTGTGTGTGTGTGTGTGTGTACAGAAGAGCTGCAGATAGTGGGGGTTGGGCTTCTGCTGATTGGTGGAGTGGCCTTAGTGGTCTGTATTGTTGGATGTGTCGGAGCTGAAAAAGAGAAAAGAGTCCTGCTGCTGGTGGTGAGTCTCACCTGTAACCACTGATGTAACCTCTGTTCTGTGATCACCAGGGTCCATTAAGTGTATAAGGGTGCTTTCACACCTGCCATGTTTGGTTCCGTTCAGTCAAACTCAAGGTCGTTTGCCCCCTCAGTGCGGTTCATTTGGGCAGGTGTGAACACAACAATCAAACTCAGGTGCGCACCAAAACAACCAAACTGAGACCTTCTTGAAGAGGTGGTCTCAGTCTGGTTACAAAGGAACTCTCGTGCGGTTGGTTTGTGGTGAGAAGGTGTTCCGACCTGGATGTGAAGCAACTGCAGTCACATGACACATTGTTTGGATTAAACATGAGCATGTTACAGTCCTGGAGGATTATTAATGTGCACCTCCTCCTGTACTGCCTTAATATGCACATTCAGCACATCCAATGCATCAAAACATTGTTTTCTAGTTGGAGCCTCGCCTCGTTTTCAAACTGTATGGTTTGACTAAAATGAACAATGACAGCAATATAGTCCACGATGAGCAGCACTAAAATCAACCTGCGTAGTTGTCCCTCCATTGTGACATTAGAAAGTGTCACATTTATCTTGCAAGTGTACTCTTCTTCAACGTTTGCTTTACTTCCTGGATTTTTCCCACATGGAAATTCTGACCAATCAAGAGCAGCTTTCTCGCACAAGGCATCTGATCTGGTCCTCTTGTAAATGCTGCTGTGAGAGCATGAACCAACTCTAGGCAATTACACAACAAAATTTGTCCCTGATTTGGACCAAAGCAAGACAACTCTAGGTCTGAAAACACCCTAAACGAAGTGGATGTAGCCTCTGGCTCTGAAAAGTGAAGCCAATGTCAAATCTTATTAGTGTCTTAAACCTGCACTCTTTCTAATGGCCAGCAGGGGGAGACTGGTTGCAAAAAGAAGTCTGATTGTATACAAGTCTATGAGAACATCCACCCAAATTTTCACTTGATTGCTTACCTAAGTAAAGATTTTCCCAAGCACCTATTTTTTGGGTGCGACGGTTGTGCCCTCAGATAAACAGTCAGAGTTCAACTTTTGGAGTGCAGCAGCAAAAGATGTAATAAGTATATTCACTTTTCTATCTAACAGGCTGCAGCGAGTGGTAGTGACGACTCTCATAAATGAGAGTCAGTGGCGGGGCCACTTAAATGACATACAACATGTCATTTAAGTGGCCCCGCCTTTAAATACGCATTAACTGTGGGCCATAATAAAATATAAATGTAACTGGTGATGTATAAAAACACTTTACCCGCCGTACAGTTATCACGGATGTTGAAATGGTGGTACATTTTTTGTACCATGCTGTAAACATGTTTATTTCTGCTGTAAAGGTATGGCATTTTTACACAGGTGTTCATGGGGATTGACTCTGTTTTGGAGCCAGCCTCTAGTGGCCATTACCCGAACTGCAGTTTTTGGAACCACCGCGTTGGCTTCATTTTTCAGCCTCAGATTTTGCCACATGGCAAAAACGTCATCCCTGCTTCACTTAACTTCTTTTATGCATTTATGTAATTATCAGTTTATGACATCCAAGTCATAATTACTCTTGTGATACAGTTAAGATCCTGGAAACCAAACAAACATGGCCACCTGACTATGTAATAAATTCCAAATTTAACAGATATATTGTTTTACTGACCGTAAAGATGAATTTTAATCATTCACTCTGTGACTTGTCCTCTTCAGTTCATGGGCTTCATCATCATCCTGGTCCTGGGTCAGCTGTTCGTCACACTGCTGCTGCTCCTAAACAGAGACAAGGTGACAGGCTTTTATTTTGGTGGGCAGAACTTGTAAACACCACAGTTGGTCCAACAGAAAGAACTATACGTTCAGACATTATTTTCAGCTCTAGGAGATTATTTCAGCTGTTAAATTGTGTTAGTTTCTCACTTTTTTATGTGTTGATGCACCTGTAATAAATAACATACATAATGTGATATATGTATTATGTAACATGTGATGTGTGATCAGCTTGAGCAGACTGTGGACGACACAGTGGATCAGATCATCGTTCAATACAGAGGCAGCAACAGAGACGACAGACTGATGGACAAAGTACAAAACTACGTGAGTCTCTCGTCTGTTGCTGGTTGTATTCCTGCTGACTTAATGACGTGATCAAATGAACGTGCCTGTTTGGTTTACTGTTGACAGGATGAGTGCTGTGGCAAGATGGGCCCTGCTGATTGGCTGAAGAACTCTTACATCCAGAGTCTGAACCTGACGGATCCGGACGTTCTTCCTTGTTCCTGTTTCAAATCGTATAGTCGCAGTGATGACTCGCCCTGGTGCTCAGAGCTGCGGAACTTTACCGCCCCGCTGTTCGGCCGGGGAAACAGCTCATATGTTCAGGTACTCATCTATACTGTCAGTGTACTGCATATATATTTATAGGACGCAGAAATGTAATACCAGGACAGTTTAAGATGCAATGTGCAGGTTATGAAAACCACCAATTTTCATACCATGATATCTGGTTTCATGGTACGGCTTCAACCCTACCAGGATGTTTTGTTCATCAGGATAATATATGTTTGTTGCAGGGCTGCAAACCGAAGTTCAGTAACTGGCTGCAGGAAAACATCATGACAATCCTCGGCTTCGACGTCAGTGTCATGTTAATCCAGGTAATATAACAAGAACCTGTCTGGACAGAGAAAAGACAGAGCGGTGCATTTTAATGGCTTCATGCTGTGTCCTTCTTTCTGTTGAGCTGTACCAAGCTCAGTGGCCTCTAGGGGGCACAAAAAGACTTTAATGTTCTCTCTCTCTCTGAGCATTTGTTCACACCTTCTTCTGTGTAAATCTGTCCTTACAAGTTCAGTGTGTAAGATTTAGGAGGAGTTAGAGGCGTCTAGCAGTGAGGATTGCAGACTGCAACCAGCTGAAACTTCTCCTGGTTAGAATTCCTTCAGTGTTCATTGTCCAGGAGGTTTTTACCGGGAGATAAATTATTCTCAAACACTGATAAAAGCAGTTTTACGTTACAAATCAGTGTTTCTCCGACGATGTTGGGCATGTTGGGAACAGGCGGCTCACCCACAACATGCTGTCAGCCCCTTTTACACTGCCAGTTCAAGGCAGGAATAACGAGCCGTTATGCTGCCTCACTGCTCCGTATATAAGGTACGATCGCGGAATGGGGGGCCAGAGTGGTCTCGCCTATGAGCCGGGATCAGATGTGGTAACAGACTTTTTGACAAAATATTATATGTATGACCCACCACAGGAAATTTGAAAAGTAGCTGGTAGCAGCTAGCGGCTAACTCGAAGAAGAACAGCTGCCAAAAATGTCCACAAATCGGTAAAACAATGAGGTCCAGGAGCTCCGTACCCTCCGAGCAGAGGAAGAGATCAGTTGCCATGTAACAGGGACAGTTAATGCTATTGTTCTTGTTCATAAAGTGCTGCTGACGCATTTGTTATATGTCACACTAGAAACCGACGCTGTTGTGTGACATGTCACGGCCATCAAGGCTCGTTTGAATCTGCAATGCCAGGATGCTGTCTATAATCACGCATTGAAGCAACATGATGATGCGGTTGTCTGGTTCTGAGTGAAAATACAAAGGCCTTTGTATCGACCCTATAGCGCCATCTCTGTGTAAAAAGGGCTATTATTTTGTGTGCTCACTCTTTTTCTGATCCAAATGTTCAGGAGCTTTTTACCAAGAGCTGAATTATCCACAGAGGTCTCTTCCTCTCTAAAACAAACACACAAGGTGATTTAAACCAGTAAAAACATTGAATGACACAGTTTCATGTTAAAAACACAAATGGCCCTACCTAGAGCCGACGATCTCCATAAACAAGGACCCGCTTTGTAGGTCGATATAAACGACTCATTCTCAGGTAAACAAAACGCCGTTTATTCTCAGGTGATTATACACTAAAGAAAACACACTTATTATATTATATTCCATTGATGCCATCAGCCATTCTCACAAATTCTTTGTATGTTTGCCTACGAAAAGCAAGGCACCCCAATTCGTACATATCCGATGTAGTTTGAAAGGCTGCGATCACGTGACCAAGAGCAGTGACTGATGTAAATAAACAAGGAAACAGACCCGAGCATTTGTAAGAGGCAGTCTGGGTCGGTGGATCTTGTACTCGTCGTCCTCCGCTTATCTGGGTCCGGATCGTGGTAGATGGGTCCCAAAAAATTCAGTTGGAATTGTGTCTTCGGATTTGTGTGAACGTTGAGTGATTTCAAGGTACTTCCTCACGATGTTTTTTTTTTTCTTAAACCTAACCACAGTAACTTTTATTGCCTGAGCCTAACCTCCGTAACAGTTCGTCTATTACGAAACTGTACATTAAGGACACAACTTCATTCATGGGGCGCAAATTCATAGGATATCATACGAACCGTTCTATGAGAGTACACTGGATGCCAATATATTCCTCTAAATCCGACACACTGGACCTTTAACACACTCACATTTGCTCATTTAATATCTTCACATGGACATATTGTCTCCCGTCTCTCTGCAGGTGATTCTGATTGTCATCACGGTGTATCTGTACCGTGATCTTGGCAGGAACGCAGCTTTGAAAAAGGCTGATAAAGAACCTCTGGACGAGCCTGAAGATGCTGTGACCTACGGAGAGTAGAACTACGGCTACATCGATGGTGATGGTTACACAGACCCCAACCACCCGGCTTATCAAAATGAATACTCGACCTACAATGAAATATACTTGGAGCCAGCACAGGGTCATCAACAGACTTCAAACTGAAAGGCTGATCTTTTCTGATTACAGCTGCTTATATTTTACACTGAACATTAATAACATTTGAAGTTGTGAAAAAAAAAGGTCAGTGTTTCTTCTTCTTTTTTCAGAATGGAAATATAAAAATAAATAATGATGGTGAACTCAGATGACGGGGATTTAAATCATTCTGCTGCTGATATTTTGGGGCGTCTGATCAAAATATCTGCATGACTGATGTTAAATATGACAGTTATCCATGTTGTTATTAACAGTTTTACTACATCACTGTAAAACCATTAAAATACATTATCTCATTATCTACTAGTGATGTGTATTGTTTGATCTGGTCTGCTTGTAAATGCTGCCGTGAGAACATGAACCAACTCTAGGCAATTATACAACTTTGGAACAACATGAGTCCCTGATTCAGACCAAAGGAGACGACTATGTCTGAAAGCACCCTAAACATTTTGCTGCTACCTGCATCTGCAGCAGGACATTGCTCAGCTTCTTTGTCAGACTCCCAGCTGCTTCTCTTCCAAACTGGGGTCGTGTCGACCTGAAAGTAACAACAATAGAGTACTTTGTTCGATACCCACCATGTGAATAGTGTAGTATCCAGTTGCATAAGATGCCGTGATATTTGTTATTTTATATGTGTTGTAATTTGTAACTTCTTCACTAAATAAAGCAGATGTAACATGATGTGACTGTAGCGTCTGAATCTGAACCTGGACTGAGAGCAGATGTGGAATGGTGTCACATTTAGGATGCAGTTTACAGATGTGACTGCACTTTCACCCCTTTTCCACCACAGTATCTCTGGCTCTTGAACCATTACAGTTTAGTATTCTTGGAACTTTTTTTTTCAGGATAACGTTTTCATAGAACCATCGTAATCATTGCCTGGGTCCAGACCCTTGAATCTGCCCACTACACTGAGTTGACTGATTCGTCTAGCATCCTGACATAAAACAGCGGTTTCTCAGTTGTCATGTGGTTCGCCCGAACCAATGAGGAGTAATAACAATGGCGAGTGCTGTAGAAGCTGCAAATGAGGCTGTTCTCATTCGACCTCTCAATTTTCCTTGACAATTTTTAACTTTGCTTTTTTCCACTTTCAGAACAGTCTAAATCCTGTATTTTATGTCAGGGGGGAAAAGCCTCTGAAGCAGCATTTTACATGACGTACTTGGTGTTTAACTTGCTCCTGATATCTGACATCTCTTAGCTTTAACAAGTGCATTAATATAAGTCATCCAGTGGGCCTGATGGGACGCTCTGAGCAGCTAGTTCTGGCCCGCAGGCCACATGTTTGACACCCCTGGTTAAAACTCAATCCTGAACATGGTACTAAGGCATATATGTTGTAATTCTTTTTGATTTACAATATTGACAAAGACCATAATAAAGCTCCCCTAATATTTTGTTTTTATGCATACTAACACTAGTTTTAATCCTTGAAGTTTTTGTTCTGTAGTTTCCTTCATAATGTCACATCCTGTTGTCGTGTATCTGAAGGCGGTGAAGCTGTGGTGACCTTTTCATTGCAATGACACACTTTTGCCTTCATCACATTGACTGATCGTCTGCTGAACATCAGCATGAAGCTGCTTCCTCTGATCTGTCTCAACACACTCTGCGGTAAGATGTTGCTCAGATTTGTTTATTTTAAAATATGATTGTATACTTATAATTGTCATATTAAATCATTATATAATATGTACTCATTAGATCTGTTGGAATCTACCAAACAGAAAATTAGTTTTATTGCTGTCATATTTTTTTTAAATTTATTTTTATACTTTGAGTGCATGATTCAGTAAAATCAAACTATTGTAAGTTTACTTAACATGTTTGTATTTTGAATTTTAGATTTATATTATGAGTTTTTTTACATTATCTTTATATATATTAGCTGTTTTTAAAAGAGCAAAAAAACTCAGCAAAAATATTTGACACGTGCTTTACAAAATTGTATTTAATTATGTTACTTTAATCTGGTTATATTCTTTGACCTTCATGTTTACATTTATTTAAGTAATATTTCATTTTCAGTAAAATTACATTTATATAACAAAGACACCAGGTTCAGGTGCTTTTGCCGAGTTACCAGGAAAAAGGTTGATAATTTAGTTGTGGCTTTTTAATAAATATTATTAAAATTCGCTGTAAATATTAGAGGACTGAGAATCGAACCCTGAGGAACACCACAAGTGAAATACTAATATTTAGATTTAGCATCATTTGGGAAACAACGTAAACGATAAGATAAATTAACTTTTGAGAAAAGTTTTCTTCTGAAGTCCCAGGTCAAATAAAGGTCAAGTTATTTTGATTGTTTATCTATCTGTATTTGTATTAATTATTCTGTTATTTGAAATTTTATTGATTAATTGTTTAGTCATTGAAATGATTAAAATAAACTCACATGTTGGTCTTTAGTCCACAGTGATTCTTTTATTCTTTATTTTATTTTTTGAGTTAAAAACACTTGTTGTGGATGGGCTGCTAACTGCAGTGGCAGATGCAAAAACACAAATGGCACTCTCTAGAGCCAGTGTTTGGTGTATTGTGTTATCATGGAAATCCGACGCTTGGGTAGTGACTTGCGGCGTCAGAAACCACTGAAAATGCCGTCTGACTCGCAGGCCACATGTTTGACACCCTGGTTGCCGTTATAGTTTAATGGCACCCAGCAGTGTTGGGGGAAACGTGGTGAGACAAGAATGAAAGTTGAGGTGGCAAAAGTCTGAGTAGGCAGGGCTGGAGCAAACACTGACTTTCACCCAGGAGAGTGGTGTTTGTGACACGTAAGAAACACTGTTCCTTTTTCCTAAACCTAACCATGTGTTTTTGTTGAAGGAAAAAAATAAAGTCAGTTTGCAGTGTTGTACTGACGTAGTGCCTTTATTTTGAAAGAGACTGTATGTAAACAGTTAATTTCCTGTGAAAACAGAAGAGTATCTTGAAAGAAGACAATGCATGTAACAGGCAGAACATGACACAGTGTCCCAGAATGTCAACAACCAACACACCCAGGGTATTTTTCACGTTGTATCTGGACATTTTAAGTCCATGACCAAATGTTGATATGTGATGGGGTCGGAGTGAGAATGTGTTGTTTGTTCTGGGCTACCGTAGAAACATGATGGTGCAACATGGCGTAGACGAGGACCTGCTCTCTGTGTAGATGGCGGCTCATTCAGAGATATTATATTCCATTGCTGCCAGTATCGCCAATTAAAATCTGGCACACCTTTAAATCGCAATTTTACATTAACTTTACATGACATTGGGTCGCCTCTAAAATTTGCCTCCCATTACGAGGGGCTTGACGGACACTGAAGATGCTTCTTTTGAAGGCTGAACTAAAAGGTTTGGAAGAAATGGACTGATCTTACTAAAACACCCTGGTATTAATCGTCAGCATGTGTTTGCAGCCACAGCCGGGGCCCTGCTGGTCCAGTCTCCTCCCTATGTATCTGTGACACCGGGGTCAACCGTTAGCCTCAGCTGTGACATCACTCACATGGGTAGGCAGTGCTCTGCTGTGGTGTGGCTGCATGTCGGACAGGTGAGTGGTCTCAGTGTGAGCACTCAGTTTGTGTCTGCGGCTCAGACTGGGACTCTGTGTCGGCTTGAGCTCTCCAGCGCCACCCTGCAGGACACTGGCAGGTACTACTGTGTCTACATCAACGGGCTCATGCTAGTGACGGGAGACGGGACCACAGTGACTGTCACAGGTGAAAGAACGAGCTGATGATTAGAGCTTTAAAATGTAAAGTTGTCTGTGTTGTAAAAACAACAGGATGTAAGTTATTGTAGTGTGTCAGCAGGTGTAGCTGCAGCAGAGACTCACAGATCAGGGCGGAGATTAAGATACTGTAAAACACTAAGAAACAGACTGATGCAGTTTGAGTTAAACCTCTCCCTCCTTCTCTTCATCAAGACTCAGTAAAATTTAAACACACAGAAATGAAACACATGTTGCTATCATTTAGGGTGACTTTAGTGGGATTAATACTTGTGTGTCAGCTCCATGCAGAGCCTACGCCATAGCCTGCACATGTGGCCAATGCCATTGTGAGCATTTATACTTGCTTGGTGGTGTGTCTGTGTCGCTCTGCAGTTACACCCCCAAAACACTAGTTGGCGGCAGAGGTTTCTGTGAAGTGCTATAAAGTAAAGTAGATTCAAAACACACAAACCACACATTAAACACACATTAAACATGGCTAAATAGAGACAATTTCAAACACAAGTACACAAATCAGCTTCTTTATGACTCGCAAGATTCACAGACAAACACTTTTTTCAGAAATACAACATGCTAATGTTTTTAAGCCTATGGCATTTTACATTGTATAAATTAGCCTAGCAGCTAGCGATCTTTTCCTCTACTCATATGAAGCCAGGGACAACAAAAGGTAACGTCACATAATTTGGCTCCATTACAACTCACAAGGTTCACTGACAAAACAACTGTCTTATACTGAACACCCTTTCCAAACAAATACAACATGCTAACGTTATTAGCACAAGTCTATGGCATTTTACATTGAATAAATTGGCCTAGTGATGAGCTGAGATTGCCTCTGCTCATATGAAGCCAAGATAAATCACACACTAGACTTAAAATGTTATTTAGTGGAGGCTTTATTGTCTTCACAATTTATTGTTTCTTATCTGTAAAATAAAAAATAAATAAAATCTTTGCTTCCACTGAGGGAAATGGTTTCAGCTTACAGAAATAGGAGGTCTGCATTGCCACGATGTGCAGTTAAATTTCTTTGGAGGTGCATGTCAGGCTAGGGCTTAGGGTACGACATTGATTCGATGCAGAAGTATAAATCCCCCTTCACACTCCCTGAGGATATCATTATCTCAGCTGTCTATAAAGAATAAATAATAATAAGTTTTCTCCTGTATAAAAGTACTCCAGGCTGCAAACAGGAGCTGTTAACAGACAGTTTGGGACTTTGATTGAAAACACTGACGTAATGGAAACAAATATAGACCAAAAAAATGGACCCAAGTTGGTTTTGTTTTGAGGTGGTCCATCTTATCTGCTTGTATGTTGTCAGCTGTGATCCAGCTGTCTGTGCGTACATACATACCTACGCTCCTTCCAAACGTTTTCTGTTATTTATAAATAGAGGAATTAAACACCTATGACATAAGGTTTCTGTTGTTTTGATGCAACATAAAGTTTTTTTGTTCTGAATCATCAGAGTCGGTGCTCCACAGTCCGGTGGTTGACCTCCTGGTTCCTTCAGACAATGTCGACTCCTCCCTCTTCCCCATCCCCTTGATCTGTCTAGCGTCTGGACTGGAGGACACTGGTCGGGTCACAGTGGACTGGGAGGTGGACTGGGAAAAGGACGAGGCTGAGATCAGGTCCAGAATCCTCCCTCACAGTGAGGCAGGTGTCATCGGCATACAGGTTTATGTTCCTGTAGAGACCTGGAGGGGCGGAGCTGAAGTCTCCTGTGTGCTGACTGATGGAGAGCTGGAGATCAGGAAGACTGTCAGCAGCAGGACAGGTGAGTTCACCTGAGGGCTCTCCTCCCTTTTCCAGATGTTTTGTAGCTTTGCTTCTTGTTACTTCACTGTATCTTCATCTTTGAGCTTCACTGTTAGGAAAATAGGATTTAGTAGAGGGAGTGGGGGGAGACGACTCGTAATGTTTCCTTCTTTTCATAACACATTCACTCTGACTGCATTCACTTTGGTATTTTAAGCCCGGTTTCCATCAAAAACCTTTGGTGTAGTACTTTCAGAACCAAACGTAACCCCTACAAACATGTACCTAGACCCTAGATCTGTTTAGTGTTTCAATGTTGTTCCAAAGTTGTATAATTGCCTAGAGTTGGTTCGTGTTCTCACGGCAGCATTTACAAGAGGACCAGATCAAATGCCTTGTGTGAGAAAGCTGCTCGATTGGTCAGAATTTCCATGTGGGAAAAATCCAGGTAGTAAAGCAAACGTTGAAGAAGAGTACACTTGCAAGATAAATGTGACACTTTCTAATGTCACAATGGAGGGACAGCTACGCAGGTTGATTTTAGCGCTGCTCATCGTGGACTATATTGCTGTCATTGTTCATTTTAGTCAAACCATACAGTTTGAAAACGAGGCGCGGCTCCAACTAGAAAACAATGTTTTGATGCACTGGATGTGCTGAATGTGCATATTAAGGCAGTACAGGAGGAGGTGCACATTAATAATCCTCCAGGACTGTAACATGCTCATGTTTAACCCGAACAATGTGTCATGTGACTGCAGATGGTTCACATCCAGGTCGGAACACCTTCTCACCACAAACCAACCGCACTAGAGTTTATTTGTAACCAGACCAAGACCACCTCTTCAAGAAGGTCCGGTTGTTTTGGTACAATTGCTGTGTTCACACCTGCTCAAACGAACCGCTCTTCGGAGGCAAATGAACTTGAGTTCGATTGAACGGAACCAAACAGGGCAGGTGTGAAAACACTCTAAGTGTAAACAATTACGTCCCCACGCCGACCTGCTGCTCCTTCTTACATCATTTTTTGATTTCCCAAAAAGCTCAACTGAATGATATTTAATAATACAGAAGTGAGTGAGGTTACCATTTTATAAGGAACATCATCAGTTCAGTCTCAGGAGATGAGCTGCTGTGTCAATAAGGAGCTGAAAGTCCAACGAAAATCACCGAACATATTTTCACTGCAACATCTTTGGAGTAAATCTGGTGTGTGTGTTTGTGTGTGTGTGTGTGTGCGTGCAGGAAAATCCAGTGACTGTGTGTTCCCGATTGCCTTTGTGAGCACAGTGTGTGTCCTCCTGCTTATCGTTACGGTGACGCTCAGCATCCTGTTGTCATGCCGACGGAGAGGACTCGGTGAGTTCAGCAGCACCTTTAAGTTTTACAAGTGCATAAATGAAAATATTTTGAATAATATGTTATTTCTTCACAGAAAGAAAATCAGACAATCCGCCGGCGGTCAGTGACGAGGTGACACAGAGTTTACTGGATTCACAGTTTGTGTTTTTATGTGTTGCTGTTTTTCTGCTGGTAGTTGACGTTGTACCATCAGGACAGGAAAACTTAAAATCAATGATTAGACCTATTAATAATGTTGATAAGCTAATTTAGACTTAATAAGGTTGCCTTTGTTATAAGGGTTAAATGTATTTTGCAGCTCCAGACAAACTTAATTTAATTTCTTGGACCAGAAATGGCTGCTCTGGTAGGAAAGGTTGCCGACACCTGCCATAGGAGGTGCTGACTGTGTGATAAACTGATGCAGACAGTGTCAACGTGATTTTCTGTGAGATCTACACCTGACTCACCTTACCTGTGATGATGATGATGATGATGATGATGATGATGGTGATGTCTCCACAGGCCTCAGCAGATCTTCATTATGCTGCTCTGAGATTTGAAACTTCAGGCAGAAGAAACATCAGCTGACACTGCAGTTCGTCTTCTGTGTGGGGACAAATGGCTGTTAATGTCTGAGGACTGGAGATGACTTCACACTCAGATCCTCCTCATTCACCTGTAATATATCGTATAAAATGTTTGTCAGCGAATCTGTCAAAAACCTGATCCCTGTGTTTGTAGTTTGTCGCATTTTGTTAATATTTCAAAGACTGTTGTATCTGTTCCAGTTTGTCTGCTGGTTTGGCTCCTTGTGATTTGTGTGAACTGAATTCATTGTGAATAAAAATGTTGGTTTCCAGTAAATGTTTCAGAACGTGAGGTGTGTTAAAGAGAAAAGAGGACATGGAAACTAAGTGTGTCAGCTGCAGAGGATTTTCCTGCTGACTGAAAAACAAACTGACCTTCTTCTGTCTCTCTTTGTGTCGACTCGGCTGTTTTCTGCTGCAGCTCAGTGGAAACTCTCTCAGTCTGCAGGTTTGCTGTGTTGCTGCCACTGATGCTGCACTTTGACTAAAAGGCAAATGTTGGTCCTCAGTGCATCACAGTCTCCAGGAGGGCTGGTAGAATTGTGGATATATAAATACACTGAAACAAAGGGAAAAAGTCACCTCTCAGTGTCTCTGCACCACAGCCTCACCTGACTGACTGAGCATGTGGCTGATAGGCAGAGTGTTTTCAGGTGTGTCCAGGTGAGACAGGGGCGGGGATGAGTCATGGGAAGCTGGTCTGGGATCTGTGCTGTAGCTCCATCACACATACAGATGACTGACAGTTAGTGTGGAGACATAGAAAAGCTGTGGTGCAGACAAACACGCAGAATTATCAGTAAAGAATTCACAGCTGAGAAGAAGCAGAGTCAGACGACAGTAAGGTTCAGCATCAACCTCTGAAACCACAGCTGTCTGTTTAACTCACTGAGATGCAGAGATAGAGACCTGTGATATGAAGCATGTCACCTGCAGGTCTCACATTGACTTGTACGAGTTGTTTCAGCTACTGATGAACATTTAACAGCTTAAAAACAGTATTTGTATGGAGGACTAAAAATGACTGAATCAATAAATAAAGAAATATAATAAATGAATGAATACATACTGTAATACAGGATTAAATAAAATAAATAAAGAAAATAACAAATAAATTAACTGAATAATTTCAGTAATTTGATTAACAACTTTTGTATATTTATTTATTCATTTCAGCATTTTATTTATTTCTGTATTTTTTATTAATACATTTATTTGTTTATTTACTCCTGCATTTTTACAGAACTGACTGTATTTATTTTTCTAAATGTATAACTAACTAACTAACTAACTAACTAACAACATAAATAATCAAAAGAATAAATAAATAAATAAATAACAAATAAATTAATTTAATCATTTAAGTAATTTAATTATCAACTTTTGTACAATTATTAATTTATTTATTTATTTCTCTATTTATTTAAGCATTTATTTATTTATGCAATTATTTATTTATTTATTCCTGTCATATATTATATATCATTATATTATCTATCTAAATGTAGAGGGAAAGAAAGAAAGAAAAGAAAGAAAGAAAGACAAGAATAAATACTCTAGATTAATGCTTAAATAAATAGAGGAATAAATAATTAAATGTATAAATAAATATCTAACTGAATGAATAGGAACAGAGAGATAAAATCATTAAAAGCGTTCATAAATAAATCTAGAAGAGTTTGTAATTAAATTATTTCCGAAGTTATTTATGGATTTATTAGTAAATTTATACTCATGTTATTTTACCCTCGTAGTTTGAACCAAACATCTGATAGTTTTAAATATTTTATATCAGACGGAGATAAACTGAGTCAGCTCCTGACTGTTCATCATCTTATATCTGCTGTCAGCAACATAAAGATGTTGAGTAACGCCTGATGGAACCAGGACTCAAACCAGCAACCCTCAGTGTCATGACATCATGTTGTGATCGAGCTGTAACCACAGGACAGCTGAGAGTTTGTTCTCAGCAAACAGGAGAGTTCAGGCTCTAAAATCAGATTAAAGGGCATACACATGAGAGATGTGTTGAACTCACTGAGCTCCATGTGTCTTATTCTCTGTCTGTTGTTTGTTAGTTTGCTTTCTAAAAATCTAGCTGCCACTCAACATAAAGTTATTGTTCTTTTGGCTGATGAGTGAAGGAAATTAAGCAGCCACCTTCATATTTAACCAACATTTGACTGGTGCTCATCTCCAACCCTGGACACATCGATATCAATCTGTGGTTCCCCTCTCAGCCTGCCGAGGGCGCCACCTCCATCATACTGACACTGACACTGTGGATTCAATGAGGCATCTTTTTTATATACATGTATAACACTTTATTAAAAAACAATTCAATATGTTGATAAACATGAACTGTAAATATGATGTGGAAAGCATTTGTATAAAACTGAAGTCCTCACAGCAGTGTAAAGCTACACCAGGAGCGCCCCTGGTGTTCACACACAGAATAACATCACAACTAAACATCACATGTAAAGGTATGAAATCATAATAAAATAGGTAAAACATAAATGAATACAAAAGAGAATCATTAGTAGAAAATATGTGAAATATAATATAGATATAAAACATTGTAACTTTTTAAAAATATACTTTCAATAGCAAATGTGCGTTCATGGTCTTGACAGTACGCCACCATGAGAACGACATATATAGAGAAAACATATTTTAATCTGTGTAGAGGACAAAACTAATCCTAAGAAGCATCTTTAAAAGTTAAAAACACCTGCTCCTCCTAAAATTAAACAATTTCTCTTATTTATTTGTGCTGAGAAGACAGTTAAAAATGAGTAATATTTCCCACAGGCTCCTTTTTCATGAGAAAAATGTGTCTTACAATTATTATTATTATTTTTGCAAAATTCTATTTCATCTAAAAATGGAGTGTTGGCACTTATGTAATTTTAAAAAATAAATAAATAATGAATAATAATAATGTCTGAAAAGTTTAATTTAAAAATCAGTTATAATTATTATTTTAAATAACAAAAAAAATCCTGTTTTAAATTACTCATATAATTATTACAATCATATATGATGAATAAATTCCAATCAGTTTGACAAGTTAATGAAAAAACTGCAGAGAAATCTCATGATGTGACAAAGTCAAAGACTTTCACTGGGGTGGAGACTTGGTGGAGCTGGAGCTGGTGTGTGATCTGTGCAGCTCCGCCACCTGTTGTTTCCAGCAGTTCACACACTGCATGGATTTACGAATAGTGGCAAAGTCTGGTGAGGATGAGGAAGTGGAGGGTGATGAAGAGGAGGGACATGCTGCAGACGCCTGGTACGACCCATTCTGAAACACACAGACAGATTTCAGACATGTTTAGAGAACACTGAAGTCTACACAGCTGATGTTGTTAATGAATGAATGAATCTTTCTGTCTGTCTGTCATGACGGCAGTAGTAGGGGAGACTGGGGACATTCACAACAGCTCCTATTCCTCCAGTCAGTGTTGCTAATGACTACGCTTATATGTGCAAAAAAATGTCTGTCTTTTGCTCTTATTCCCAAAAAGACAACATTCCTACTGAGCTGTTCACACGGCTAATGGAAATAATTATTCCGGTAAGACTACACACTTGTGGCCGTGCACACTGATTAACGTGTCGTTTATCATGTCAAAATAAAGAAAAGCGGAACAGCTGGAGCTGCATTTTCCTCCAGCTCGTTACACTCTCTGGAGGAGATGTGCGAGTCATCCGATGTCACGATGACCCTGAAACACGCTGTATCGTTATCATGTCAAAACAACAAAAGCTCTCTGGCGCCCACTCCACAAGAGAGAGATAGAAGGAGAGAAGGAGAGAAAGAACATGGGGAAAAAAACCCAACAACAAACAAATCTGTGTTAAAATCGTCAGGAGGAGAGCTGGTCATGGTTACCTTGAAGCAGCTGAAGGCCACAACAAACAGAGAAGACCACGCCCACTTAGAGGACAGGAAGTGTGTACCATTTCGTACCATTGGCGCTGCTTGTAATGTGTTGGGAAGTGGTGGATTTACAGCTCACAGATACTTAATACGACACAGTCTCTGGATTTTTGTTTGATGGTGGCAGCAAAAATGTTGCACATTTCTGTTCCGTTGTTAGCGCAGTTAACTTGTTCACTTTAATAAGTGAATGCTGCCGTCAGACTGAACATCTCGTTCAAACCGTAAAACTTTATATATTTAAGAACAAAAAAAAATCATTGGAAATTCGTATTTAAATTCGACTGACATAATTCTGAGTCAGGTACAGCCCCAGAATTGACCTATGGCTAAGCCCCGCCCTCAAACGCGATGAGCCAATCACAGTGCGTATAGCCATTCCCATACACTCGGACATTCTCTGCCTGGACATCCATTGAAATGCATTACAGAAAGTCAGTTTGTTCGGTTTTATGAGCTTTTTCTGAGATTTGAAGTTTATAAATGGTCAAACGGTGTGCATGGGGTACATGCAACTCTGACACAAGGTATCCTGAGAGGCTGGGCGACCAGGTGTATTTTTTACACTTTAAACCACATCTCAACCGAGAAAAGTGTCTCCTTTGGATGGTAACCATAGGCGTTTCTAGCCCAGCACCCCTAAAATTTGAGAGATTTTTTTTACTGTATGTCCATTTTTAACAAGCTAGAAAAGTGTCAAAACCATACAGCACTTGGTTGAAACATAATATTTTAACAACAGAAATACAGCACCCATACAGCAGAGACAAACATTGAAAAAGTCAGTTACTGTTAATATGTTAATGTTACATGTTGTGCATTGCATTTCAAATAAAAGTCCAAAAAATAAGGTCCATTTTTGGTATTTTTGGTGCTCACTATAGGGGGCTGGTTTACTCCAGAAACATACATACTGCTTATGTGTATGTTGAGGAGCTGCTGTATCAAAATGAGTTATCCTCCCCAAGAAATTAGGGTTATGATATGTTTCTTTTATGATTCCAATCCCTTCCTCTTTTGCTGTGGCTCAGCATTTAAATAACCTTTATCAGATTTGAT